GTGGTATTCTAGAATGTATCTATATACGTTTATTTCGTTGTATATATATGTGGTTTTAAGTTTATTTATTTCTGTGATAATGGATGCTTATGACACGATCAAAATTTATTATCGCGATGGCTTTCCGAAAAATGATTTACAAACTTTTATTGCGGCGTGTACAGATGAAGCATCTAGTGGCCTTTATAGAGATGATTCTGAAAGTAGTGATTTATCGGAACTTTTAGATCGCTTTTGTTGTTGTCGGAAAAGACCCTTTTACGGGTCATTCTCAGGATCAAGTACGGAATTCTCAACGAAATCGGAACAAACGTGTGGAGGAGCAATCTGTATATAGTGCATTAAAGCATAATAATGTCTTAGATAAATATTATGGCTCCATGGCAGATACTCGGTGCTATAATGACAATTTCATCATATAAAGTAATTTTTGTAAAATTACCGTGTCGTATTTTTTATTTCTGTTTTTTTTTTGGACGCCGCAATAAAGTGCTACTAGTTTTATATTTTAGAAAGATATAAATGCTAATATTGATAATTAATACTAGATATTAATAATGAGAAATGAATAATTCATATTTTCCCATTTTTATTTATTCAAGATATTTTACTAAATGCATCTCAGTATTTAAAAATGAGATGTTGTTAATAGTAACAACAATGATCTTTATCATTTATGTATACAAAGTATTAATGGACCATAAATAATTGTAAAATATTGTTTTTATTGAGAGCTTTTGTAGTACATATAAATATAATCCACCTCTTATTAAGGAGCATTTAAATATACAAACAAAACTGCAATATGCTGAAGTCAGTTAAGTAAGTAATGTACAATTTTATATATACGTGAATTTATAATTATTGTTTTCTAAAACTAACAGTTGAATGAAATTAATTCAAAATATAAGTATTTATAAATAAGAACATGTTATCTCTGTTAATAATGTGATAGATTCTAGAATTGTGATAAAAACAGAATAACTAGCATATTGTTAAGTATTAATATGATGAGCCATTAAATTTGTAATTTACACATGTACATTACATGTACTTACATAATTTTAAGTGTTGTATCATGTTATACAACATGTATTGTACATGATATCTTGGTATCTTTATATGATGTACATTGTAAATTTTACAAAATGAAATGTTTTTCTTAAGATGAATGTATAATAAATGCATAATGAATATATAATGATATATTCAATATATAAATATATTTATAATATACTACAAAATACAATAAAATTATAATTTTTTGAACACTCTATATCTTTCTTTATTTTCTCCTATGTTATGTTAACTACGATTGAATAATATGAAATTATTCACATTTTTAATGAGTCATACAAATGCAATGTATACTTTCAAATATTGTGCACACAGTAAAATATCGAAACTATATAACCTAGAATTGATGCATAACATTTATCTGAATCATTCACCTTGTCAGAAACATTATTAGTGACATGAAATACATATCAATTCATTAGTGTCAAGAAATTCAAAAGTTGATAAATTTGAATTTATAAATTAATACGTTAACATATTTTTTCAATATATGTTTTATTACAAAAAGAATGCTGTTGCTTTTAGCTTTCACGATAGTTTGTCCTCTAATACATGAAATATGATTTTAGTCATCCACAAATACGTAAATGTATAGTTTTACTGGAACTTTCACCATAAATAGCTCATTTATTGCAGTTTCAAAGTGTCATTGATTTTTTTGTCTTAATTCATCCTATATTGAACTCTGGTAAATGGAGTGCACTGACCCAAGAAACGAACAGAGCTGGTCACTGACCGTACCTAAACCGATTCACTGTTTACATCCAGTTTTAAATTTCGAACTGTCAAGGTGAAGCGTGGTGATCTGTTATTGTCAAGCTTGAGTGCATAAGAAAGCATCAATCGCATGAAAATTAAAGAAATTCCACGAAATAAGTGCCTTGAGGAAATCAAACGTGTTCGTATAAAAGTAATTAAAATCATTTTCCACAAAAATGTCAAGAATAAGCCATACCGGAGCAGGATCGAACAAAGTCGAGCTTGAATTCCTGTTCTCAAACAAAGAAGGATCTGCTAGTGAACATAGTATCTCAAGCATGGTATCTAGTATTTCTGCATCACAAGATGAAAATTTTCGCGTGTCAAAGCACGCAGAAAATAGTTTTAAAGTTATGGAAAAATATTTACATGAACAACAATTGACAGATGTCATATTAATTGCAGGTAAGATTCCTTTGTCTTCAAATGTTTGTCTCTCAGCATGAGTCATTTGATTCTGAATTGATACAGAGGATTTGTAATTATTTATTTGTGATTATAACATAATATATATATATATATAATATTATTATATATTATTATACAGTATTATTCTTAATTCAGGAAAAAAACGTTTCCCTGCACATCGTTTAGTACTTAGTGCAAGTTCAGAATATTTTGCTGCCATGTTTACTAGTTCTCTAAGAGAATCTACACAAAATGAAGTTGAGCTAACGGGTGTTGATGGGGATGCATTATGGACCTTAGTTTGTTATTGTTACACAGGTATAATAATTTGTATAAAAGGTTTTACATAAATGTGAATAACTGTGAATATCGGAAAATTTAATTTTATGTTTTTGAACACAGGTTGCATAGAATTAAGAGAAGATAGTATAGAAACTCTTTTAGCAACAGCGTGTTTGCTACAATTGAATCCAGTTGTTAAGGCTTGTTGTCAATTTCTCAGGAAACAACTTCATCCAAGTAATTGCTTAGGGATAAGGATGTTTGCCGATACACAGGGTTGTTTAGATTTATTAGATCATGCCAACGCATATACAACTAAACATTTTATGGAAGTTACAAAAAATCAAGAATTTTTATTATTATCTGCCATTGAAGTTGCCAAACTTTTAGAATCTGAAGATCTGAATGTTCCTTCAGAAGAAATTATTTTTCATGTAAGATTTTATAACATCTATATATAGAACTAAATTATATATAGAAAGAATATTAAGAAATTTAATTTAATTTTTAATGATTATCTTTAATATTAATACTTTAGGCTCTTATGACATGGTTAGAATATGATTCAGAAAGTAGACGGAAGGATGCAAGCAAGTTATTAAGCCTCGTGAAGTTGCCCCTATTGTCTCCTGCAGTAAGTTAAACATTTTTCCATATTTAAATAAATATTACAATATTAGTGTAAACTTAATATGTATTCATACAGTTTATAGCAGACAATATTGAAAGCAATGAAATGTTCAAAGATCAAAGATTGGCACAGGAATTAGTTATGGAAGCATTGAAATATCATCTTTTACCTGAACGTAGACCATTACTTCAGTCAGGACGTACAAAACCCAGGAAAGCCACAGTGGGTCATATGTTAGCTGTTGGAGGAATGGATGCTAATAAGGGTAAATGATTTGGCAAAATTACAAAACGGATATTTAATTAATTTACTATTATTTCTGTTAGGTGCTACTTCTATAGATGCATTTTCTTTACGTGATAATGCTTGGAAATCGATTGCTACAATGAGTGGTAGAAGACTTCAATTTGGTGCTGTTGTCGTTGACAAAAAATTAATAGTTGCTGGTGGAAGGGATGGATTGAAAACATTAAATACGGTGGAATGTTTTGATTTTTCAACATTTACTTGGAGTACACTATCACCTATGAATATGCATAGGCATGGATTGGGGGTAGCTGTGTTAGGTGGACCTTTATATGCAGTTGGTGGTCATGATGGTTGGAGTTTCCTTGATACTGTAGAAAGATGGGATCCAGCTACACGTCAATGGAGTTCAGTTTCTGCCATGTCTATACAAAGATCTACAGTTGGTGTTGCTGTATTAAATGATAAGTGAGTTTCTAAATAATCTGGTATGTAAGTGATCATATCGTTATATTATATACCCTACATGTATATGTTCAGATTATATGCTGTAGGTGGAAGGGATATCAGTTCATGTTTAAATACTGTGGAATGTTATGATCCCCACACAAATAAATGGACACCATGTGCACCAATGTCAAAACGACGAGGTGGTGTGGGCGTTGGTGTTGTGAACGGATGTCTTTATGCATTAGGTGGTCATGATGCACCTTCTAGTAATCCTAATGCTAGCAGATTTGATTGTGTTGAAAGGTATATATATGTATAAGCGATATAAAGAATTTATTATACTATAAAAAATAATGTACTTATAAGTATTAGTGATTAATACATAAATGTTATGATTATTAGATATGATCCTAAAACAGATACATGGACTATGGTAGCGCCAATGAGTGTGCCCAGAGATGCAGTTGGTGTTTGTGTGCTTGGTGATAGACTTATGGCTGTAGGGGGTTATGATGGTCAACAATATCTTACGCTTGTTGAAGCATATGACCCACATCTTAATGAATGGGAACCAGTGAGTATATGCCGAATATTATTCATCCGTTGAATGTTTAGGCATATTTCACAGATATTTATATTACTAAAATATTTTAAGGTTGCTCCCTTAAATGCTGGTCGTGCAGGAGTTCCGTGTGTTGTTATAAAAAATTTAACTAGTTTCGGATTTGATTAATAGTAAAATACTGCATGTGCACAACTACGAAATATTGAAAGCACATTGAAGTATTTTAATTGAAAATTTTAAATCGAAGGATGAATTTGTAAATGTTACTATATTATAAAAGTAGCATTATTTTGTCTATAAATGCATGTTCAACAGCATGGTATTTCAAAACAGATAATGTAACGTTTGTACTGTATTTGATACGTTTCGTGTACTATCGTCAATTTTTATATATTTATACCTACGTCTTTTGTATAAATATATTCAAATTTATTTTTAACAAATATATCTTTTATGTCGAACAAATTTATTTTTCTTGTCGAGAAAATGTTTTTATTTACACATGTATTCATATATATTTTGTGAACATATCTTTTTTAAATAAATAAAATGCTCATTTTAACTAATTCATTGAATTTTTTACCATCATATTACTTGACAAAGGGTCCATTGTATCATTTCATAGAATCCTAACAAGCAGGAAATGTTCTGGAACATATACAAAATATAATAAACCCATATGAAATATTATATATTTTAATATTATAATATACGCATATTATATTACGCATATTATAATAAATACGCAATAATAATTACGCATATTATAATATTACGTTCTGCTAATTGTTTATAAATTAAATTTACCGTGGGAAATCTGATACTGATTCAGCAAATTTATGTCTAACCATAAAAGTAGCAATTGCTTCTGCTACTTTATCTGGAACATCTTCATGTACCGCGTGTCCACAAGCTGGTAATACTTGCATTTGAAATTTACCTTATGTATCAAGAAAATTTAGTTTCAATATATTTCATAAATATTCGATACAAATTTGAACGTTAATAAATTATACCTTGCATTTGACCAACAGTAAGTTCTCTGTCTAATCTATCAACGCCAGCTAGCAATAGTACCTTTGGAACTGGTACATTTAAGAATGCTGTTGATAAACCCTTAAACCATCCAAACCAATGTTGTTCAGTTCGGGATAGATCTATCCTCCAAACATATTTTTTAGTAGCAGTAGTACTAGTTGGAGCAGGTGGTGGTGGCATATTTACTGGTTCTTCTTCTTGAATAATATCCTCTCGCGAAATCGTAGGCTCTGAATTACACTCGCATGACGATTGTGATAATGAATCGATATCATGGGTGGCTAACTTATTAGTTTCAGTGCTATAGCAATACAAATTGTAACATGAGAAACCAGTAAAAACACAACTGTGATACCTGAATATATTATGTATACAGGTACTAACTTTGTTATTTGTCCAGGAACTGAAACCTTAGCTGATTGTATGTTACGGATTTGGCCACTTCGTACACTAAAATGTGGATAATTAGACATTCTTCTATAATCTCGTTTTTGATTATACAACACAAATATGTAATATACATTAAAGAAGTAAATAACATTTTAGTTTGTACAGGATCAGCCAAAAATGTGCCTTCCTTCTGAAAAATTTGCTTAGAATAGCAAGTTTTGATAACTAATAAGAACTACATGAAAGACACACAAAGATTTAATTATTTTATGTTTATAAAGTTTAAAAATACTAACCACCATTCTATAGCTTGAGAAATAGAACCAAAACTGGATGGTCGAGATCTTAAAAAGCTTTGCATAGATGCTAATGCATCCATAGCTGTTCCCTCAACAACATCGATAACTCCTAATCCACATAAATTTGATATTAATGATGCAGCTCTAACAGCTACTGCACCACCCATACTATGGCCCACTAGGATTACGGGATCATTTTCTGTTGTTGCTTTCACAATTGCTGCAACATCCCTAGTAGACAAACCAATCAAAATGTATATATATATATATATATATTATATTATATTATGTATGTTATGTGTATATTATATATATATATATATATATATATATATATATAATTTATATTCGTAATTGACTAAAAATTTTACTCACTCTGCTAAGGTATCAGAAGATAAATCTTCTTCATTTGATGTTTGAGTATCTCCATGACCTCTGAGGTCAACTGCCATAACTTTGCATACTACCATAGTCATAAGTGATTTCTGAAACATATACAATATCCAAATTATTCTGTATTTTATACATTTAATAATTAATACCTACAGTGAATTCTGCCCATGTTAACGCACTGTAACCACCTCCATGTAACAATACTAACGTTGGACCCTCTGTACCCTTAGTATATATATGAAATGTGTCATTTCCTATTTTTACATCCTGAGAATGATCGAAATATGGGATCCATTGAACTGGGTCGTAATCTCTCTTACGTTGAAACCCTTTTGATTTGCTAACCCTGTTGATAATGAAAATTAAAATACACAAACTATAGTAGCAATGAAATTTAAGATCTTCTATTAAATCCATGTTAGAAACTATTTTAAAGTGCTATTATGAGGAAATTAATTTTAATAAGATTTTATTTAACATCTCAAATTTACGTTAGTCAACAATCTAACCTAGAGCCAATTCCAAAATTGACACTTGATGGTGGTAATTTCGATTTCAGAATCGACTTTTGGAGGGAAGACATATTAATATTCAATATATCCTAGTCCAGTATAATTCCTTTGTTTCTGTAGTAATACTGTTTGTAATCACAATTATGTTCAGTAGTTTTGTAAATACATCACAAACTATATTATCGTTGTATTATTCACGATTAACGGAATGCCAAAACTCCTCTGACAGCTTTAGGTTGTTACTACCTGAAATCAGTATTTCTACATAGAGAGAGCGCCTCGATGAATTTATTGCTATCATACCGTCTCTTTCTTTCTTACCGATATTCTTGGGCAAAGTTATCTTGTGTCGATATACGTATGTGTATGTACGGACGAGGTAATATCATTGACTAAGAATAGAATAGACGTGACACGCAATGATTTTTTGTGTACTACGTTTTGGGGGTCACCTGACCCCTTTACCATTTATGTGTCATACGACGTTATCGATTCAGTATAGTACTGGTTTCAATTAAAACTGCAGTCTTGTATGAAATTATAAATAAAATATAGAACAGGATATCCTATAATCGCAACGAAGTATAGAACTCTATCCTCCTACAATATTTCAGAAAGCATTACACGCTATCAAAATAACAAATAACTTTACAATGATAGTTAAATGATTCGTTTAATTAATTTCAAGTGAAATCGTAATTTAATATATCTGAAGCATAAAAATGAATTTTCTAATCTCTCCTATCTTCATCTTTGTATTCTCCGATTAATTATTAATTATATATTATCAAATAGTTTGACTTACAATCAAAAACTTGCAAGACAATTTATTGATAACTCAGACAGACAAATTACGCTCAATGGAACAAGCAAAAGACCAACGAAAAGAGCAAAAATTCACAAAAATCTTACTTCTATGGATAAATTCATAATATATCAATCAAATATTCTGTCTTCACAAATACATATACCAAAATTAAGATTTAAAACAAACGACGCGACTTAAAAATAATACTAAACAATAATGTTTAAAACTAACGATGCAAACTAAAACTAAGACTTGAAAGTAAGGCTTAAAACTAGGGTCTAAAACTAACAATAAGACCATTATCACCATCCTTCGCCGTCCTTAGCCATCTAGTAATTAGGATTGAAATTAATTTAATCTAGATCTTAGAACTAAAACCTACTTAAATTAAAGTATACTAGATCGCAGCTCTATTGGCAGCCTTTCGTATCAAAGGGCGAAATTTAAAAAATGAAATTATAAATACTCTGTTAAATCAATTGTTCTATTTAATAATATAATATTTAAAAGAATTGGATAAAGGAGCTTTTAGCTTTTTACTCTAAGTTAGACAATGTATTTTTGTAGAATAAGTGCGCACAATGGACTTAGTCTAGATACATATGTTTATTTTAAAATTAATTAAAATTAAAACACACACTGTCACGTCCCGCGCCCCGCGCGATCCGTAGCGCGAAAGTAAAATTGGTAATTTCTTTCAAATCAAGGTAATTTAAAACGTTTATTTGAAACCGTGTTTACAGTATTTGAAGCGAAAGGCAGTTAAAGTCGCTATAAGCTATATCTTGCGAAAACTCATCTAACTATGTTTTTATATTTATCTAATTATGTTTTTATAACGATATTAAAACAATTGTAAACAAAGTCGGCAGTAGAACAAACGTTAGGGATCTTCCCAAACATTTTCAAAAGAAAGACCTTTTTTCATCTCCGACAGATATAAATAAATGTAGCGACTTAGAGAAGTCAGTATATTAATTACCGTTCGTCAACCGAATAATTACCATTGTCTATCGAAGAGTTAGTTATCATCTTGTCTATCGAAGAATTATCATTTTGTCAATCGAAGAATTTTATATCCGTCAATCTGTCAGTCAATTGTCAATATTGAAATCGAGTAAGATTTGAATAAATCATTATATATTGTTAATTTACTTTCAAACAACTTTAATCCTCTCCCATGCCAGTATTCTCGCACATAGCAGGTTAGCCGAAAGTGGAGCTTATTGCCAGTTACATTAAATGTCAGTTAACGCTACCGAACGCAGCAACGCGGTTTATAATTTTCTAATTGTAAGGTATATCTAACTAAACGCCCGTATACCACGGCATCTCACGATGAGTTATTAGTCCAATCTAGATCATCAAAAGACTCCGAAAAGAATTTTGGATAATCTAGACTAGATTATAGGTTGCGTAGTTTGGTATCGTTTTTCAAAGATGAATTGATTGGCATAAAAATAATGTAAAAATTAATCTTTGGAGAACAGTATCAATTACCAGGTCTCATCACGAGGAGGTGACCAAGTATGATATCTGTCAATAATTTGTACAACATTACACATAAATCTCAACATTCAAGCCGTTAACAAGAATATTGAGTTCTGACTCTATTCCATGAGTCTACGTAAAAAGATAGATATTTCTTAGCCCAAAATGCGCAACATTCATCTCTCAGGCAGCGCTTACATAAATCTTTATAAATTAGAAGGAAAGCACGCGCCACATTTATCTTCCACACAATGATTACACCGATCATTACAAACATCGTACAATAATTCGTAACCCTGACAGCATTCAGTATCAAAAATATATTTGTCTAATTTGGAACTAATATCGAAAATTATTACTTATTGAAGAGTATACGGATGTGATAGAACTCATGAGAGTTAAGCTAGTATGTTAATTCAAATAATCATATAACTCATCGCCGAAGGAACTAAACCATGTGACATATTAATTATGGCACGCATAAATGCCTTCGATTTGATTACATTTGCTACCTCAAATCCATGAACACGGTTTCATTTTTTGACTTTTTTGGCACAAACACTCAATAGTTACACTTTGCATTGGCGTTGACTTTATATGAAGCAGTTAAATGAAAAATTAAATATTGCACTGAAATAAAATTAAGTAGAAATAAAATAACATTTCAAAGATTTCGAAGATTTAATTAATATTAGAGTTAAAAATAAATTAAAGGTAAAATAAATCATTAATTTAATTGTTACGAATAAATAGTATTGTTTCAGATTAATAGTGCAATTATTTTCAATTAACAGTATAATTGCTATAAATTAAGAGCATAATTATTTTTAATTGATGGTAAGATATAAATATAAAAAGATAAATGAAGATAGATATATAAAGATATCAAGGATATAATTTATAAATTTTTTAACAAAAATAATAGATTTAATGTTCAGATAAATAAATTTAATGCCAAGAGGTTTATTTAAGAGGTTTATTATTTATCAAGCACTAACTAAAGTTTTGCTTGAATGAACGGAGCGCATTTAAACCTATGGTTCAAACAGATTTTCAATCGTCGCGTCGCGATATTTATAACAGCGTTATAAATTGTAGAGGCGTGAAAGATACTCTGATTCTTTTTCAGATTGGTATTCCAGAACGTAAGACAGAGCTCCATTTTTAATGTTACGTTTATTTTTTCCTTGGTCAATGAAGTAATTTTCTATCAGCTGGTAATTTATCATATAATTCTCTATTTTATTTATATATTAACACCGACGAGGTGCAGAATAGATGTAACATTCATCGCTTTTTCGTAATTCACATTTTGGCGATCACCTGACTCCGCCTACCATTTTCGTTTCGCATGCGACGTTATCGATTCAGTATAATAGTGGTTCGAATTGAAACTAAATTTCTCTATGAAATTAGAAATAAAGTATAGAACAGAATATCTTGCAAATGAGGTATAGAATGTATTTCTTCAACTGTATTATGATATAATTAATTGGTATGATGATCTCGCGCAGAACCTATTACATACTGCATACTTAATGTTCTCCAATTGTAATGCATCCTGACTGCATAAACAACTGTTCATTTTTTAAACTATTAATTTAATATATGATTCTCTTCCGTTCCTATTCGCTGGAGTTTAAATTTCTTAAGCCATGGTTTTTAATGCAAAAGACTATTTTTATTATCTGAATATTAAAAATCAATTTTTACTTTGTGAATAATCCTTGTGATAATTAAGATACAAACATCGAAAATAATTTGACAAACATTTTCTCAACAATAAATACGTTCGTTCTATACTGATCAGTATAACGAAACAATAAATAATCTTCCTCGTTTGAGTAAACTAGAACTTTCAACAATGTATACATTCTTATTCAAATCAATTGAACAGAAATATTTCACAAAACGAATATTTATATCACTAAAATACACATTTACGCAAATCAATCTATACAAGTTACTTCTATTAATATTTGACTCGAAGCACTATAGCAAAGAACAAAACTCTATCTCTCGTTTAATGGAAGGATTCATATTCAAATGATCCGAAAATTCCTCATGACAATACGCATGCACGTGTTTGACGGAGATGAAACGCACGAAGCTTAGATTCTACGGCGCAAACGTGGTGTTCCCTCCCTCAACCAGAGTGTGGTTGCCGCAACATGAGCACGAGGCAACGACTGCTGACCCGTCATATTGATCGACCTGGATCCGCACTTCGCTTCTATCCGATTGCGCGACTTGGGTGGCGCTTCGCAGACCGTGCCACGATGCTTGCCGACGCTCAAACGCGCTAGCGTAGTCGCAATCATTGCACTTGCTTACATCGCATCGTCCATCCCGTATGTGGAATCGTCCACCGCCATGCTGGTGATGCAGTGATCGTACAAATTACCGAGAAACACCGATTAATCGACGATAGTGACGGTGACCAAGCAACTCTTGGAAACTGGTGATCTTCGGTTCCTAATCTTCTGTTCTTCGACGAGTTTCCGGTTTCGTTGTACGGTTGAGTATTCCAGATCTTCTTACGAGTTGTGTACGTATTGACGAGGGTATAAAACGTACAGTTTTAAGATTACTATCGAGAAATGTTCCTTCATGTTTGGCTTATTTGTGATTGCCTGTAAGGACAATTGATTCTCGTCGAAATACGTAAAAATTCTTTATGTGAACGATTGAAATTTTTGTAGTATTCGTAACGTATTATGTTAAGTTTGTGTAGAACCAGGAATACTGAAATTATGCACACGTTGTTTTGTTTGTCGATAGCTAGTGTTCTATTTCTTTATGCGATTTTAAAGTAACATTAATTTGCGCGGCTTTAAGCTGTGCCTTTGCCCTCCACTCCGTTGCTCCCTCCCCCCTCTCCTCGACGTAATTGATTCGTTACTTTTTACTTGGATTCTTTGTTATTTAAAAGACGCTACAGGATAATCCTTACATCTCATAACGTTGAATTTAACGAAAACACGTCGCACTAATCGTAACTTCGTTTATTACGCACTTTCTTAGTCATATTTCTTTTTTGTTAAAATAAAACGCGTTTTCTTTCGTCCGTCAGTCGCCCAACGCTTGACCGCGAGGGTAAATGTTTGATCATTGCACGCGTTGTCTATTTAAATTGACATTAATAAAAAGGTTCACGACGTTGCACTTCACGTTTCATGTACTGTTTAAATAACTGGATCAGCATGGCGGGTTGTTATCATATATTTATGTAAGGAAAATGTCACTTCGTTTTATGTTATGAATAACAATTCAACCTTAATGCGGTGGTACTTTTACGCAGCAGACGTTGAAGCCTCTGAAAGCGATTGAAACCTGTGAAAATCCAAGTTTATGGTTGCGGTATTAAAACTACCAGGAAATATTACGATGTTTACTTTCTCACTTCTTGATCTAGACAACTTATCGCATTGTCTTGCTAATTGTTAGCTTTTTATTTCGAGAAACTATGAAAATCTTCTTTCGATTTTTGTAAATTGATCTCGATTTACATCAAAGAAAATACATCGTGACTAATTTTTACTAATTTCTAATTACTAATAACTTAAATATCGTATTATAAATATATCCTTAATATTAATTATTCAGCAAAACATCAAAATCAGTTTTTAGAGTTCGCTTTAAAAGATTGATAAATTTCGTGAAATTTAGAGCAATAAATGCTTAAAATTTAATCGTTGTCGATACAGTTGGGTCCAAGAGAAAGTTTATTGCTTTATTGTTTATTCATTCGATTGATTGTTTACTTGATTTTTTAATACCAACATGTCAAGGTTGTTAACATTGCACGTAATGAATTTATAAAAAGATTCGAAGATTCGATTCGTTCCATCATTGTTTTTCTTTGCGCAAAATATTTGCTGCGCACTATACTACGTGCATTGTATATTTTTTCATGAACATTTTCCATTATGCATTTCATACATCAAACGGCCATTTCATTTGTTTTCATGCAAACATTATATGTGTGTGATATCAAGCCATTTAATCGATCGCCGTATACATATATCGTTTGCTGATCAATTGCTTTGTCGCACACAGAGATTTGAAGCATTATATGAAATTCTATACCACTAGTGCGTTTAAGTTATGCAAATTTATATAGACGCAAAGCTTATTGACGTACGAACACAAGCTACTTATCTTATTTCGCGTTTTAAATTATGTAAAAGCACAAGTATTTTTTCAAATAATCAATAACAATTTTTTTACGCAGATCTTTTCTATCAGATTATGAAATAAAATAGTAGTAGTAATAAATAATAAATGGAATAAAAAAAGGTATACAGTGTAATAATATTATTCTTTATTTAATTTCTTCAGAAACGAATTTCTTCAGGCATTTATTAAGGAAAAAAATAATGAACTTTTATTTTTCTGAAAAAAATGATGTATATTACTCCTTGTTAAATTAAGAAAATCGAAAATGACAAGAACCTTAACGGATCCTTTTTTAAGAACTTTGTCCTTTTTACTAATAAAAACAAAATAGTATACAGGAATACAAAATAGTATGCAATAGTATACATGAGTCATGTAACATGCTCACATCAAATAACTCGTAGGTTATTTGTTGTATGAAAAAATGTTTTAAATAAAGCTTGTTCTGTTTCGATGGGACACTGGATTTGTTTAGGTGAAGGCATTTTCGAAATCTCAGGATGACCTTTATCTTTTTTCTTTTTTAGGGAACTATAAATTTTTTGATACACTGCTCGATGTATGTTTTAGTTTTCTAAAAAAAAAGTATTAGGATATGATTACTTTAAATGATATTTTAACTTTAATTTGTCAAATTTAACTTATGAAAGACAAATACATAAACATAAAAGTACTGTTTTATTGTCCTTCCCTTGTCTCCCATACATTAAATTTAATAAATTAAAGTGAAAATATCTTCTAAACTAATTATTTCTCGATCCAAGTACCCTAACACTTCTTTGTAGATAATTAAAAAACGCATCGAACGGTATATACAGGAATGTGTAGCTTCCTGTAAGAAAACAAGGAGATTTTAGAAACAGCTGCACCTAAACAAATCTAATGGTCATCACATTTCGAAACAGAACAAAAACACTCTTTTATACAATAGAAAACTTACCATTTATTTGAAGTGAGTATGTTACGTGACCCACGTTTGCATTGTTTGTATAATTACGTGTAACTTTGTATGCAATGGCGCGATTGTATGCAGATGGCGTGTATTTTTATCTCACAACAATTTTCGCCGTATTTGTTAGAATCAACCTTCAGTTAAAGAAAACTATTTTCATTTTCTCTACATTTGCCAATATTTTTTAAGAAATGAATTAAAATAAGCTGAGCAAATAAGCAACCACTTGAATTGTAAATCTTAGTGTCTAATAAACGCGGTTTTCAACCATCTTATATATGTTTTATACTGCATTAATTTCGTCACACCATTGTAGTAACGATGGTAATAATACAAAATTTATAATTATTGACATTTGTTCAAATTATGTATTTCTTCCAATCTTGGTGCGCCGGTTACCGGTGACCCCCGTGGAATTTAACGTGTTAAATTTTACGTTCGTGCAACATTTTGAATATCTCGTTTAATCAAGATTGCAGTTTTCCTTTTTATCTCGACGATTCACGCGTCGCGATATGCGCGCTTACAAGTCTCTGATTTTCATCGTCCCTCGTTAAGCATTGACGATCGTTCGTTCTCAGATGATCCATTGGAAACGTCGAATCTTTTCGCTTGAAATTATTTCAGGATCGTTGGCCTATGATGATCAAGTACGGTGACGTAAGAAGAAGGTTGTAGTATTGTTCGATGTACGAACAAGGAGTATGGCAAGAAGATGAAACGACAACACTGTGGCAGAAGATACGATGTATGCTGTGACAATTGTTCATCCTTGAGGCAGCGCGTCAAATTCATACATACGAAACTATAAAACGTCACGCATTCGTTTAGCGTGTGACAGTTTATAGTTGTCCTTCGAAAATTATTTTTTTGTACGTCACAAACGGCCAAAAATTTTCGTCAATATATAACAGAGGTAAATCATATTGCTGGTTTCTGAAATTTGTGTTGTATACCTTGTGGAGTTTTCCTAGTTTAACTTTTCTTAAGTAGGTTTATATTTCTAGTGTCTGTTATAATTGACGTAATTTCGTTTTATAATATAATTCTGCCTTCCGTAGTTAAAAATTCCTACATTTACGATTTCAAAATCGATGAAAATTAAAGTTTAACCGCTTTCTTTGTACCATCTCTCACATTCTTTTTCATTACATTCAAACATTTAAATATTATTCCGTGACAGTTTCTATAGCATATAATAAATATCTCAATATCTTGAAAAATAAAAAAATATTAGATATAGAATATTTATAATAAAATATAGGATATTTTAGCTAAGAAGAGCAGAATTGTAGTATTTTAATTTTAATGTTTGCGTCGTAGAATATATAGAATTATTAGAAGCTTGCATAGAAAGTTGGGGAGGCGCGAAACTTTGATGATAAATTGCTTACAGGATAATCAAGCTCGTTAAGCTTGTTATTTATTCATTCTGATATGGCTGGATTTGTTACAGCAAAACTCCAAAAAGCACTTGATTCCGTCACGTAATTTATCTTATTCTGCGTATTTTAGAGCAGGTACGAAGATTTGTCTTGCTTTTTAGGAATTTCTTTCTTGTTCTCTGATATAATAATATCCTCCTTATTGAATTGTGTTACAGACTGGGTGCACAATTCAATTAAAAGCAAGTTTCAAACAACATAGTCAATACGGGAATAATAAAATCACGTTATGTAATAGTAATATGTAATGTGATATGATATTATCTGAGAGTAATTTATAATAATTTTTGTTTGATCAACCCGTGATTTTTAAAAATCCTGCATCGCCTGTTTTAATTTTGTGCGATATTAACACTAAACCTACTGACACTTCGTGTATACCTATTTCTACCGTGTGCGGTCAAAATGACCGGTGATTAAAGAAGTAATAGTTTTTATGATTTAACTTAGATAATGGTTAATTTATAACTAAATGTATATAAAATGATGAACTTTCATTAAGTTTCGTCGAAATTTACTTTTGTTTAATTTCAATTATAGACTTAAATAAAAAATTACACTTTTATTTATATAGAGATATATCTTATTCAACTTCGCTACATTTTTTACAAATTATCTTATTATCAAATGTACATTTGCCGCATACATATCTCCCGCATCTTAAACAAATTTTCGTAATTTTGTAACCTTTACAATTTCTTACTTGACAAGTTTTTTGTAGTAATGAATCTAAACTTATTGATAGTTTTATTGCATGGTTTTCCCGCGATTCTATATATAAAAAAGTAATGTATGCACCAGGTTTATAACAATTTTGTGAATTCTTTATAAATCGGCCCCATACTATAGATAGCATTGCAAATTTATTGGTTCGTAAACGTTGGCTTCTTTCGCTCTTCTTATCAAATCGTATAAACCTCATAATTTCAGCAAAGTCATTCCTGCTCATTGTTTTTGGAAAAAATGCAGGTCTCCAAATTTTATTCCACTAATATGAAACATCTAAATTCTTTGCCTGACATGCACCTCGGGGATATAGCAGAGTAATAAATGCATCTAGTTTTGTTGCATCTAACTCCCTCTTAATCCCCAATACTCTAAATGCTTCTTCCATACATTTTATTATATGATCTCTTATACGGTGATCAATGATAAGATGAAATGCCGTCTCTATTTGTCCTTTCATTATATGCCGTTTAGCGTATCCCTAAAAATATTATAAATTGATGTCCTGCCAGGTTTGGGACTTGCATCTATTTCTTTCCAAACTGTCCCATCGGGCCCAGTTTCGATACGTTGATTCTCTACATCAGTCTCACTCTTTGCTGTCAACGATAATTTCTTTCCTTTTTGCCCTGGACGTGAACGCTTATTTATAAATAATATTCAACTCTGATTTGGTTGTAAACAGCCTTTCATATGTTTCCATGCCGTCTTCAGTTGCTGAAGTTTCTTGTTCATCGCATACTGAACAGTCTTCTTCTATGTTCGTTATTTTTTTTTCTATAATTTTTTTTAAAAGTCGTAACATTTTAGGGTAAATATTTATCACAGAATAACTCCATGTACGGAGTACAAAATTATTGTCAAATTTGATATGCTTTACTTTTGCTTTTATAACAATTTTACACAAAACGCTCTGAGATGCTTCCTGTCTGAGTTTTAGAGATAACAAGGTTAAATGTCGGCTGATTGACTAACAAACTGTAATGTATTCTGGTCGAAAGGTCGAAAGATGTAATCTGGACGATAGCAAGTAAGAATATGACCTGTGACGATGATATTTATAAGAAAATATTGATGAGTATTGGCCATTCTTCACTAACGATTACTCGAGTGTGGAGTTAGAAAAAACCCGCTTTTCCCGTGTTTTATCGCAATGAGTGATAACCCTAAGAAACTTCTCGACTTTCAAAATGTTTGTTACAATGGACTGTAAAAAATGCTAAATTTTGTGGCGGTTAGGATTATTATAGGCCTGAATTCATACGTGTTGACAGCTGGTGGCCATCTTGATCGAGGGATGGATTATAATTTATGATAAAGTTACGAGCGTAACAGTTGTTATTATTTGTTATTACTGATTTTGTTTGTCATCTGACTTTGAAATAGCCTTTTTTGTACTGATTGCATTTATTTTAAGAGTAACTAAAATATTTTATCGGTTGGTCAAATTGACCGCCCGCGATAGGCAAGGCAAAATACAATTCCTTCTTAGAAAAGAAAAAAGCAAACTAAAAGTAAATACCGAAAAATATATTGTATGCATGTTTTAGGAAAAGTCAGAAATTATAAAGCGATATGATAACGTTTAGATTGACGAAAGCGGTCAATTTGACAAATAAACCGGTAGGTTTAGTGTTAAAAGTATTGTGCAGGAGTACTCGGCTATGTTACTATGGAAGCTATTTATAATTATAGATTAGATAAGGAAAATTTATTTATTTATTTATTTTTTTTTTTTTTTTTTGGTAGGTTAGCGGACTCAATTATTCTACTATCTGCTATTTTTCGCATGACATTACGTGAAGGTAAACACATACACAAATTCTTGATACGCATAACGTACTTCCTTGCATACGAAAGATATCTGATAAAATATTAAATAGCCAAGGTTACGAATTCGTAAAACGAGAATATGCAGTGATTTCTTGGCTCAGTTACATACCGCATTGCTGCAAGATTGCAAGAAAAGCGGAATATATTGACCCAAATATTACTTACTTCTAATTACTAGCATATGTCAGTATATGCTAGTAATTAGCAATATTTATATCCATATCTATTTGAAATATATATATATATATATGTATATATATGTATGTATGTTTATTCTCAGGCTTATTATAAAACAACGGAATTAGTAGATCAGTAATTGGGCTTATAATTCTTATTAGCCTAGTATAATGAAATTGGATTAGTCACTATTTGCATATTAAAATTTTTATTCCAGATACATTTTCGTATGCACCAACTTAATAGCTTGGCTTCTTTTTTTAGAACATCGTTTTCTGTATCTTCTTGACACGGTTCATGTTTCATATTTCGAGGCCAAGCGACGTAATTATTAACTTAAAGTTTCCGTAATTTTACAACGCTGTGGAATCCATAGATCCATTCGAGATATTGATTTTCTAAATGCGGCGATTCTATTTCAGCTGTATTATGCTTTGTCCCTCGATTATTAGCGGCCACTAGTTAATGATAAATAAGAAACATACCTGTCGAGATTTTGAAATTTGTCCCTTCTGTTCCAGTAAATTGCCTAACGAACGAATGTAATTCCGTGAATCGCGTCTGACCTGCATTTCTACTGTAGGAGTAAGCTCGTGACACGGCATGAATTTGGATCGGAAGTAAGAAGGAACCATCGCCAAAAAACATGTCGCTGAATCACTTGATAGTGGGTGAGTTTTGCGAAAAAAATCTCTTTTTCTTTTTATTGTATAACTCCTTTTACCAGACGAAAGAAAGCAGAGATTAAGCCACGTTCTTTATTTATGGTGTTTTTGTAAACAAAATCCCAGACACGTTGTGTAAACATACATACAAATAAAAAAACACGAAAACTTACGCGCGGACTTGAGCGAAAATTTATTACGACTTGTTACATCTTTTTCATATAACTGTGTTGTTAAAGTTGTTTCAAATCTACATTTACTGTAATAGCTGAATTCCCTGTTGTAGCTATATCTCCTACAAATTGATTGTCTTTTTTGATTTTCTAAGGAGAATACTTTCTGTTCCACCTGTTGGTTGTACATTAACATTTGAAATGAACATGGCATTCTAAATACTAGTATTTTGTAATTGTATAGCTGTTATATCGTAATGGAGGTTGTATATTAATTGCACTGATTGCGATGCTAGTAAGTGTATCCTCGTTTAATTTATACAGCCTACAGCAATAATAGTAGGTAGGCTATATTTCGTCTATAAATATAGTAATTGTAAAAATAACATTTATTGTTAGTAAATTAACATTAATGTATATATAAACAATATTTTTCCTGATATTGGCTTCCTAAAAAATTTCATATTTTGTTTAATCACATCGAGGGTGTGGATAAATTAAGGATAAATTAAATTGTAAAGAAACAAATATTAAAAAAGATGCATACTCAAAACTATTTTAGCGCTCTAATACAATTCACTATTCTCCATCGTGGATTGTATTTATAATCTGATGAGTTCTTAGAACTCGGATCGAAGAAAGAAATAAAGGACAAACAAGAGAAAATTCGCAACCTATTCTTATACTGTGTTATTCATCGCTTTACACCGTTCGAGTCTGCTAAAGCCTTTACTCCCTCGAAACAGTAACTGTGCCTGAATAGTTAAATACGAATGGAACGTGCTTTATCGATTGTTTTGGAGACAATCAAGCGCGCTGCTCGGGGTGAGTGTGCAGACGACGAAAAGCAGAGGGGAAAGTAGCGACAGAAGCCTGTGATTAGTGTAGATAAAGGTGGACATACAGGAGTCGTAGTCGTCGATAAAAGTATCTTCCTTCTCAATTTCTTCCACTCCGATGAAGTACACGTCTATTTTCGTTACTATGATAAGACGTTCTCCGTTTCATTTAGTTCGAGAACGTCTCGTGGACGAAAATCGTCACATATATATATCGGATTCTCATTAGAGTTAGGGACGTATAATGAATCTTCACGTGAATTGGCCATTGTTGTTATGTGCTGTACTTACTGATACAAATTTGATTATTACAGAGTTTAACGAGTAATAGCGGTGATTGTATAATCGAGATGTCGAAACTGATATGACAATGAATTTAGGTTCGATAACGAACCCACGGTCAACGGGATGACGAATGCAATTTGATCCACGATTCTGGTGTGACTTAACGTACTTGTCCATAGTACAAGTAGAACTTATCTGACTGAATGTCAGTCCAAGTGGAACTGCCCTTATATACTCCTCTTCGTACCTGTCTGTACGGGTACCTCTCTGTACCCATGGGTCAATCTTTGTTTTTAAGGAGAGCTATATAATTACTTCATACCTCTGTTAGGTACACGTCTCTCCCGTGACCGTGGCTACGTTCAGCGACCCGTTATGTCACTTCGAGCCCAAGCCCACTGCCACAAATCTCGAGCACCCATACTCGGATTAAATCATAAACAACTATTTCTCAGTTTTATTATTTAAGTACAGCTATAATAAAAAGTCGGGACTAAAGTATTGGGGATCTTCCCAAACATTCCAAAAGAAAGGCCCCGATGTCCTTTCATCTCCGACATATATATATACATACATCTGTACATAAGAATTTATATTTTATCTCTCTGTAAGCAAATATATTCACTTCGTAAAAGTGAAGTATAAGTTCATACAGTAAACGTTCAAACGAAGCATACTTCGTAGGCAAACTGGGTCATTCATGTTCAAGTGTAATTTCGTTTATGTTCTAAGGTTTTGAAAAGATCTAAAAATAAAATATGTACTTGTTATTTGCTAATTGAGTCAAATAAAACTTTGAATCTTTTTTCAATAAAAATACAAATTCGAATGAGAAGGATTTAAATATCCGGTTTGTTTATGGAAAATTAATAACAATCTTTCAATTCCTACATAAATTGAATATTATGAAATTTGAAAAATCCCATGTAAACGTTTTATACATTTTATTAGGTATTATTAAATATGAAACTATTGTTTGAATAAGACATTGAAGAGTACTTTTATCGTCAACAATATATAGTGATTATGTAACTTCATTTCATGTTATTGTTTTCGTAGATATATGTATTATACATAGGTTTATGTAAAAACGGTATTCTAGAATTAATTAAACTAGTATTCACGCGTACGATCGCTGCCCCTGTGCACGAGGTACGTACCTGTTAGTTTTTAAAGTTGGTAAAAAGCGATAGAAGTTTCGATGAATGGTCATTGTCGTTAACATACTTCCCACACATGCTACAACAAAGTCACCCTGCATAGTGGAAGGTATGGAACTAGAATGAAAAATACATTTCATCATTTGTATATTTTAACATTTTTATAAAGAAACAATTTTCGTGTGACTTTTTGAAACTTAAACTCAAAAACAGAGAATACAATACGTGAGAGAACGTGTTCCTATCGTTGTTATTTTATAGCACAAAACGCCAAGAAAGTACTATAAGTATGTCGTAAACTATTAACCTATTCTATTTCTATGAGTACGGGTCGAATTTATAGTTCACGTGTTTCCAAACTAATGACCATATATTTCACATCGAAACCTATCTTATAGTTATAACATTTGTCAGGGAACAACACAAATCCAAAGAGCAACATTGAAAAATTCGTATCATGAATAATACTTTAGATCAACTATTAAAATTCTTATACTACCTCAATTGAAAATTCGTTCATCGAGATATCTAGATATTTTAATCATGTTCAAAATTGCGTAACTAGAATCAAAATTTCATTAAGCAATTATCATCTAGTAGACGAACGATAGAAAACAAAAAGAAAGGATTAACAACCCAAAAATGTGAAACATCTCAAACGATATTGTCAATTGTAAGAAAATTTAACTATTCGATATCGTTAATCGCGCAAATAATAAAATATTTAGATATCAAGATATTCTAATGTATTCGTAGTCACGAATGAAATTAGAATGCAATCATGACGATGAATGTGGTTGCAAATAGCGAAGGTAGTAGTAGTAGTAAGAACAATATAGTGGGTAGACCTAGCAGTGTGCACCCTTTTGTTTCTGTTGTTCATGATTATCATTTCGTAGATATCCACAGTTAAAATTATTCTTTTTATCTTCTAAAGCAATGGCCAATGTTTCATTTCAGCGGCAATTGTACTCGCGGTTGCCACCGTCTGTCGCGCGGAGTGCCAGAGTGAGTGATCAAACCAGCTTCACTTCAGTGTCCTTCTTGCCATCGTTATCTGTCGACGTTATGCCGCAGGGCTTCTTGTCTGAAGATTCATTCTCCCCACTATTTTTATTTCCTTTTCTTTTTTCTTTGCAATTTAGTTGCATAAGATTGATATATAAATTAATTGTACGCTGTCCTTGCTCATAATTTGATTTCTGTTTAGTACACTTAGTTCGCGAATTTAACGTAATTTTTTCTTTACGGCTATATTTCCTCTACAGTACTATTTCAAGGAAGTTGATTTTGTTAAAAGTAATGATACTTATGCCGCTTAATATTTTACCATATTCGTCTACATTCATTTTGAAGTTTGAAGATAGATGAATGGCGCGCTTTATTACAGTTATATTTTACAGCTCGTTCTATTTATTGCTACGAATGCGATTCATGGACGGATCTCAGATGCAAGGATCCTTTTAATTACACCGCACTTCCAAGGGATCAACCACCTCTCATGACTTGCCATGGCTGTTGCGTGAAAATGGTTCGCAACGCCAAGTCACGTAAGTACTTCCTTTTCACTTCTCCATCTTTTCACTCTTTCCACTCGTGCGATAATTTTCTTTGTGTTTTTTATATTTTTCTCTATTTCATTTCTTTAAATGTCCATTTCATATACCTTTTGTGGAAACAATTAAACCTTTTTCTCAATAAGAAAAGTAAAACAAATAGGAAAAAATATTTCAAGATATTTGCAAAATAATTATCCAAGATTCCTTGTAAATACTGATAATCATTTTCCATGAAGCTTTAATAAGCAATATTGACATTATTACGCCTACGAGCCCGATATTTTTAACTAAAAGCGTTGGTTTGGAACAAGGAAGAGTTTCAAATAATCTATTTCGTAATTATACAACTCTAAGAAAATCTAAGCTCCTGCTACACACGCTTCTATAATTCTCTTCTTTAAGCTTTCTTATTTTACGATATTATTTCCAATTATTCTAAAATCCTTCTAGTATAATTTATATACAATTTATAGATATATATAATTATTTCTATATCAAAATAATATTTATTTCACAATTTAAAATTTGTAAATCACGTTATATTTTGTTCGTATATACAATTTCTAAATATATAATAATTATTTGTATTTTTTTCGTCTGTTCGTAGCATATGAGAGCGTGAGGCGGACCTGCACTTCGCAACTACAAATAAATTTATTCATGGTGGACCACGTGTGCATGATGGAAAGTACCGGCACTGGTCACATGTGTTTCTGTGAGGAGGATATGTGCAATCATGTGTCTCCGACCTCGTGTTCGAATCCTACACTCCTGCTGATCCTCTTGACGATCCTTGTACTACGCTCGGTCATCTTAGGAGCCCCAGCTTGCTTTGTAGAACGTTGCAATGGTCACGACGTATAACACTGATTTATTCGATTCACCTGTCAGTGATCATATCCTTCGTAGAATTTTAGTTTTAGCCAGCGACTTGAATTCTCGTCGAGACGAGCGGTTCTCACCAGTCACGTACCGGTTGGATAACACGGAACACGTTGTGTTTCTTTTCACGTTCGTACCAAACCAGAAAGGTAAGACACGAGCTGCGTGTTCCTTGAAAGAGAAGGGAATCGATCAATCGTCGATTAATCGTGTCAAACCGTTTTAACCGTACATTTCAATTTTTGTGAATCAATTCATGAATCGAGAATCGCCGATCCATATTCTCTTCTCTTCAAAGAATTTTGCACTCTCGCTCGTCCTGATCCTTTCTTCGGCATAAATCGTAACGAAATATCTCGACCGTGTTCTCTGTAGATAAATCATCCGATTCTCTGTCACTCTCGATTTTGCCACGCGCTCTTCCTCTTGATTCATAGCCCCTGCAAAATGTTTCCTGTACCTTTGCGATGGTATCTTTAATGACAATTTTAATTCGCTTCGAAGTGAAATTTATCTTATTGGAAGATAGTACGTATTTAAAAAAAAATATGGATCTTTTCCAATTGATATAATCGTACAATTTATTATAGATTTTTCAGTTTGTTCGTATTATAATTTTCGAACAAATTAAACGGAGAATGATAAATCAAATTACAGCTATCAGAAAATTTAGCCTGAAGCGAGTAAAAATTTAGACGCGTTCTTTAATTCATTGTATGTTCGGATAATGTTTCTATTTGATGAAATCTAATGAGATGGGAATTCCTTTCTGACGAAGTTTTGTTGCATGCAATCCAGAATCGATCGAGACCATCCCATTCTTGCAACTGTCAATCAGTTCTTTCGTTTTTTCTTCCAGTATTGATGTATCTTACAATTAGAACTTTTTGCTACTTTTTTCATGGTCATTGATCGTTACAAAGTCTTAAGCATCAAGTTTTCTAGCTCTCAAAGCATCTTGATGGCCGAATCGAGCTGCTCCCGATACGTAAGAAATAGTATTCGTCTTTATGTCGTGGTATTTTGGAATGTTTCTTTCATTTTTAAAGTTTCCATTGGCTTGTCGTTTATCTATGTTCCATACCAAGTTCGTCGTATATCTAAGCGAACGTGGATCACGAAACTTCAGAACTTTGAAACGTAGGTATACTGTTTGCAACGTTGTTCGATCATTGCAAGATCTTGTAGCTAATGCGTGTTCTAATTGTATTATCTCAAACACACATTTACTGCTTTCCCAAAGAAAATCTCCAAGTAACGGAGGATAATCGAGACACAGAGAGAAAGAGAAACACGATATACATTCATTATTTTAGCGCATAGAGGTCGACTGATGGACAATTTTCTTATTAACTCGTTATATGCTTTAACACTATTTCAGCGTTGAAAAGTAACTTTATAAATGATCATTGATTACGAGAATATTACCAAGTTCATAATATATTGAAGATCCTTTGCACTTTCAGAAGATTTTTATCACAGATAATCAAATTTGAGATGTGTAACTAGTTTCTCTTTGAACACTTTCGATCGTGATTCATCGATATCTATGCACACACCTTTGACTCTTATCCAGTCGAACAAATCGTTTCTGTATATCACATACAAACGAACTATCAGCACCTTCAACCACTCTCTGTTTCTTGTTATACATTGTTGTAACGATTGTCGTACTTTTCCTCCCCTGTTCTATGTCTCTAACGTCCTTTATACGTTTGCCCATTTGCCATTCTTAACGAGACACCGGTGTTTCGCGCATCATGCACCATAGGACAGTGGAACGAGAATGGCCCATGGTATATGGAGCTTAAAGTAGATCAACGTTCAGGCCGCATGGTTTCGGCATGTCCATCCGTCAGCAACGTCATGAGAAAGCAACGACTGCAGCCGGCAAGCATCGACACCAGAATTTTCCAGCTCTACGTTTTTCGACTTGCTTGAGTCGCGGGCGTGTGCTTTTTCAATTTCCAAACAAATTATTCTCTCTTACTTTTTCAACTATACGTAACATAATAGAATATTATCAAAGGCTTAAAGTTATTTGATTAGATTTAATTACAGAATGGGTGGGGTCGGGATCAATTCATTAAAAATTTGATTGGGACTCGATTGAAATTTGCTATAGGATTAACAATGAATCATGTATAAGATTGATCGTTAAAAGGCACGCGCGCGCGGGATGTACCACAGTAGTACTAGTGAGTTCGACAATCACGTATCTAGCAGGAGTGTGTTCCACACGTAGAAAAGTGCGAATTCGAGTGCATGGATTGTAGCACTTTTATTAACAGTGAAAAGGCAGAGGAAACTTTACGGACGGCTTCTGGATGAAAGCTTTACCCGATTAAAATTGTGTATTACCATCCATGTTACGATCTTATCCCCTTTCCTCTGTCCCGCGATTATCGTATCGCCGTGCAGTAACACCTTGCATGACACTTGCATGAATCTGTTGTTAGTAATTTTTGTGAGAGACTAAAAATCCCGTAGTCGATGCTTCAACAGGTAACAGACTTTAAAATAAATGAAACAAATATGTATGTATATGTACATATATATTTGTTTTATATATATATGTATACATAGAACAAATTTTGTTCGAACTGTTTCAAAATTTCCCAACAACTATTATTTCAATTTATTCTACATATTTATTATATATTATTTCAATTATTGCAATATTAAATACAGCGATAATTGCAATATTAAAATCTTTTTACAATATCTGGGAAATAATACAAGAAACAATTCAAGTACGGTAATTTCAAGTTACAATTCTAATATTCTAATCAATACGAAAGTCTGTTTCCAAAATGAGACTCGGCTCAGTAACAATAACCCGAACACAGAACCTTCCATTCCGACGAATGCAACGCGAGGCTGACCGAATTAATTAAAAAGCACAACGTGGGCCTTCAGCTTCGATCGTGCCACGCCAGTTACGCGCATCAGCGGCGTCTCGAGCGCTTTCAGGCTTCCGGAATTAATGTTCGATCGCGATCGATCGATTAAGCGACACGCAACGAGGAACTCGATCGACGAAAGCGACGTTGAACTCGCTCGAGAATACTCGTGAATCGAGCAGCTTTACGATCACGCAGTTTGTAAATCTTTTTCAGGGTATGGCTGGCACGGCCAAGTTGAACGCGCATGTCCTCACAGAGAGGCTTCCGGTGTGGAGCCTCTTGCCAAACAAGCTTCGGTGCTTGCGAGTGAAAGCGAGCTAACCGGTGTTTCTCTGGCAAGCCATGCGGCTCGTGTCGCGTCATTTGTTCATTATCGCACGCGCGGCTGCGAGGCTATTTTTTCGAATCCTTTTGTTCTCGCGTTTTTCTTCTGTCTGCCCCTTTTCGTTTCAGTTTGTCATTGCGCGACCGATCCGATCAATGTTTGCTGATTACACCGCAACTCGCCGAAGGTCGAAGAGTAATTCGATTGATCTTATCAAGATTATTGTCAAGAACTCATGTACTTCTATATTTTTGGTAAGAAAAGTTTGAGATATCGAATTCTTATGTATGTAGTTTTTTTTCATAGATCGATTTCATCGAAGGTTTTATATGTAAAGAATGCGAGAGTATGTTTGATAAATGCAGCAGACAGGAGATGGGAGCTGCAATGACAACACTGACATCAGCATGTAACACGAAGCGAATCTACATTTTTAAGTTTGGCCTCGCAGCTGGAAAGAATCCACATAACGTTACCGATACAAATAATCATGCGAAGTAATGGCGAATGCGCTCAGGCGAATCTTAAACAGCTCGATCGAACACGAAGTGGATCCGACGTGCTACATTTCGATCGAATCAACGGAATCTTTAACCGACTTACTTTGTCAAGTATTAAACGATGATATTAGATAAACTTCTAACGCAAATTTTAACGATGTTTCAGAACTTCGGACGTCAGAGATTCTTGTTCGTCTTGATCGAGGCTGTTTCAGTTTCGAAATAGAAAAACAAAAAAAAAAAAAAAAAAAAATGAAAGAGGAAAGAAAGACACAGGATCGATACTTTCTTTGCTCGCCTGTTTACACGAAAGCTCATATCTAAGTGCTTGCATAACAAGGAGATTATTATCGATGTACACTTTTGTCTCTGTTAAAGATCGATGTTTACGATTGCGCCGAGATGTCAACCTATGTATCGATATCCTCTAACACTTTTGTCTCGATGTTGATGAACATTGGGCATAAACTGAATGATGTATGATGATTATATATTTTACGATGCAAGTATCGAGAACCCCCCTCTGTTTCTACGTGTATCGATGTGTATCGATTTGAATGATCGTTGCCCCGAAATGTTCATTTATTCTGACTTCTTGATTCTTCGTTGGTGTCAGTTACGTTGATTTTAAAACGATTGATAGAGTATATACGATGGCATGAGGCGATGTTTCGATAGCAAAGTAGCGTTCTCAATTATACTTTAGCACGTGATTTCGTTGTTCCCCATTTAGCTCCATGAGGACATTATTTTCTTTCAACTTCGTCGATCGTTGCCTTAGCGTCATATATTTCATATGATTTCACGATATTGTTAATACGAACGACGTGTTCGAAGTGAAGAGATAAATATCTAGTTCGTAAGAAAATAAAATAGAGTATCAGGTGCTTTGTAGCTTCATTTAATTATCGTATCGAATTTGCGTTATGAAACTATAATTAATATTAATCAGTCAATATTATTAACAGACGTTAACGAACAATGTTTTACGTAGATATATAATTAATGATTAACCATTGCCTTGTATGCTTTCTTATCAGAGAATTTAGCATTTATGCATTCCAAAGATTCGCTATATTATTTATTATATATTATTGGTATAGACTTTTACAAAAAGTAAAAGTAAAAATCGCTGGTGATAGAGTGAAATAATTTTTCTTCATGCACATATCGTTGCCTCTGCAGAGTAATTACGTCTCGATGATGATGAAAAATTATCGTGTGCTGACATTGAGTAGTTGAACGCTGTTTAACGTTCAGCGTGATAGTAAAATGTCCAACGATACGTAGTATTTAGCCGGTAAGCTCAGCGTGTCTTCTCAAAAGAGAGAGAAAGAGAGAGAGAGAGAGAGAGAGAGAGAGAGAGAGCAGTTAACGAAGAATTATTTGCTCTAGAGTTTGTTAACTTTGTTAATTTTTTACCAGACTAGTACGATAGTGGCATCGGACCGTGGAATAGCATTAAGCTAGTGCTTAGCTATAATCGAGATATATGACCATTGAAAACGCGGTCAGTATTTTAAAATCATGTAGTGTTAAGGAACGCATACTTTCGTACAAATAGCATGAATAAACGGATATGGCGATATATAGAATTTATTGGGGAAGGAAAGGAAAAGTTGAAGAAAAAGTTGGAAACATTGCTAAAGAATTCGACCGTTATCGATTCTTTTTAACTGAAATACATCCTGACCAATATGGGATCTGTGGTATTAAATCTCGATGTAATCCAACGCATGAAGAGATCATAGAGAGACGTATAACATAGATATTTTCATGAATCTTTCATACAAATCCGGACACATAATGTTATTTATCAATGCGAGCTCTTGAAAGGCTGAAAGAGGTATTTAAAAAAATGGCGCGGTATATAAGATTGTTCCAGTTGTAGTTAAAGATGAGACGGTATATGATTGTTATAAACCAGAGTTATTGGACAGAAATTGTTTAGAATTGAAGACAAGCAAAACCATGACAGATGGTTGTAAGGGCATATTATAATTTAATGATTGTTAAGCCGATTAGAGATGGTGTGTGGAGACACAGATTCTACGAGTACGTTATGCCCTCGAGATTTAATTGTTAGCGCGATATGTAACAGAGTATCAGGTGCGATACTTTCTTAACATATCTCAATGAAAATATACATTTATGTGTACATATACTCTTCCTCTTCTCTTTATGTCGTTTGAAAAAAAAGGAAACCGTGTTAATATATAATATCGAAGCGATATTTTCGTCATCTAAATCATTATTAACGATGAGAGAATTATAAAAGTACGGAACTGTTAGAAAGAATTATCATTCACAATAGGCCGAATTGTGTTTGAGATATGTTTTTCCAGAGATTGGAAAACAAAACATAACCGTGGCCTAGATTGGTCAGATCCGTCATCGTTGTATTCAAATTCGCAATAAAATTTTTATGTCATTAGATTTGGTTTTTGAAATGTTTTCTTAGATCCTATTCCCTGTTCTTTTTCCAGATCAGGAACATTGGATCAGAATTGTTCTGTTAGAATTTACAACAAAATTTATGCCGTTAAATTTCCTTTTCACGTTGTTTCCTCGTTCCTTTTTCGAATTGGTTACTGCAGTATACAGTACACGATATTTGCTTCAATTTTGCGTTTCAATGTTTAGCAGAAATTCATGGTAAATAATGATATTCCAATCCCATCAAACATAATATATCATACATAACACAGAATATATCCACCGTTAAAAATACTACGAACAAACCCAAGAATTTAATAAATTTTCACACATCCGTTTCTCTGATTTAAAATACACTCTTGACTTGCTCAAGACAAAAATTCTATCATTCTTACAACTTTGTCGAGAGAAAATAAACCATAGTATTATAATATCCTTAAAATATCCCTAGTATAATATTCTAAATACACGATAAGTGTACATGTATAATATTCTTAAAAGAAACGGGATAGGGAAGTTAATTAAATAGAGGGTAAATTTTAGACGGTAAATTCAGATTTAATATCGTAGCTGATTATGTACTTTCTCTTCAACAATTTGTCGCGAGCCCTGCGAGGCACCACGCTTAAATCTGAACAACATAGAATCCATCGACGACATCGAAGGAGTACACACAGTCGGGAACTGTCACAATATAAATCTATTCCTTCTTCATGCAATGACCACATTTTCTGCATACAGCTGCGTCCCCCACGCTGCCTTCGTTTCCTTCATCAGGATTCTCATTGTGGCCCTGCATCGATGACAAATCGCCGCTATAAGGACGATGACCGATCGCAGCTATTGTTTCACTTCTTGGCAGATTACTTTCGGCAGACATTATGGACGTTAGAGTGTTCGAGCAGTCTTGAGAACCGATCTTTACCGAGCCATTCACAACGTAATTTGGGCGAGTATTAGAAATTTGTCTTCTTAACGATTTGTCTATGTTTCCGGAAACATCCGCCTCTTGTTGGTTGGTTGAACATTCACCAGGATCATCTGGTTATATAAAATAGGAAAATTAGTGGTGTATAAAGTTTGAATCTTCGAAGCTTTAAAGTTCGATCGATCTTGAAGGCAGCGTTTTTTAGAATTCATATCATATAAAACCCTAGCTTTCGAAACTTTAAGTTTCAGTTCTCTTTGGACTCAGTAAGGGAATTAATAATAATTTTATGCTGTATTTTATTTATCTTCTGCAAAGAAGAACTATAAACTTAAAATCATTGATTGATTCAACCCATTCATTTCTTTTCGTAATTAAATTACCAACTTTTGAAAATGATTTTAGCTTATTTAGGACATTTCGAAACTATATGTCGATTTATCTTTTTGGTTTGTACTCGATATTCCGCATGTTCTTCAGATAACGAATATTAAAATATTCTCGAAATATCTTGGAATCATTCGTCATATGCAATTAAGAATTCTAATTCGAGTTTAATATTATTGTTGTTATTACTAATATTACTTGCCATTTTTGGATTGATTAGTGTCAGAGATTTCACTAGTTCCAAAATCTTCGTCCTCTTGCAATGGCAATTCCGACGCCATTTCTCGACAGCTAACGTATCCCTAAAATATGCAGCAATGCAAATATAAAAATATGCATCGGTAATTTTAAAACATTGTAGAAGGTAATTTATATTACGCCTACCTGTACGAGATCCATGCGGGAATCTAAAGAGAATTGTTTTCCTGACATCAATATTCCTCGAATCCGGCGCCGCATAGCTTAAAATTAAGGTATACTTTGCTTTTTCCTACTTTATTCGTTGTAATTTGTTATTTACCTGGACTATCTCTAGCTTCGAGTCGTAGTTGACCAAACGCTTTCGTGCATTCTTCGAATACATCCGCAGTATCGTATATTGCAGCGAAGCTGCCATTCACAATTTTTGGTGACATTGGAGAATTAGCCAACAACAAACTTGAACCAAAATTTTCATTCTTCTCTCGAGTGTCTGAAAATTAAAAGTCCCATTTATTACTTACTCCAATTATCCCAGTAACTTTGATATTAACTTTAATATCTTTAAAGGATAAAAGCAGAATAAAAAATATAAAATCACAAGTATTGATAACTCGTCTTACCTGAGCTTTCTGCATTCCAAAAATTATAGACATGCATTCGTATAAAAAAAAGGAGAAAGAAAATCAAAACCAAGTGATTAGAAATAAAACTGTTTCTTATTATTTGGTGTAATTAAAAATACAAATTATTTGGTGTAATTTTGAGCAAAAAAGTATTGGCATATAAACAATGAAAATGAAACTCTAATAACGCTACATAAATAACATTCGCTACATAAATAATTAAAAAAAAAGGTCACAAGAAAAGAATCATCTTGAATCTTTACAAATGATCAATCCTGTTGTATATGTATATTTATGTATAATATGATATACTGTTTAATATCCAATACTAACTGTATACGTTAACAATGTTAATCATATACGTCAGTAATAATTCCATACACCACCCGTTCCATAAACATTTAATGGACTAGTAAAAATTTATTCTAGTAATACTTTTTCATTTAGTAAACCTAAGATCTCTTTCTGTATGAAACTGGAATGATTTGAATTTTTACGAACAGAAAGAAAAAAGAAAGCACGAAACTCCATCTATTTAGAAAATCTGAAACAGAATGTTTAATAAAGAACAAGCTTACGCTCTATGAGTGCTTGAGCGGTATACAAAATTTGCAAGCAATGTTTACCTCAATACTTTAAAAATTGCACGAGATTGTTTGTATAAAGTCAGTCGATCTACCGTTCGTTTCTGCGTTACCTGCAAGTGGAACTTTCGCTCGTACAGGAGAAGTTGTGGTATCTCCTAGAATTTCGTTTGCTGTATTTCGTATCTCGGCCCAGTCTCTTAAGATATCTTCATTGGTGGTGCTAAAATTATAATCAAAGCTCAACAAATCTTTAGTCAGAATTATTTTTTAAAAAACAACGTTTTCCAACATTTCGATAATTTGTCGATTCGCAGAATTTTTTACGAAACTCATTTTCTAAGAATCATTACCTGCCACGAAACAATGAATTTCTAATAAATGTTGACTTACTTAGTCGAAGTGACCGTAAATCGAATCACGTATTTTCCATGCAAAGCAGCTGGTACGCAATGAACACGGCCCCTCGAATTCATCTTTTTCAATAAACGTTCTGTTAAATTATTTTCTCCACGAAGACGAAACACTACAAGTCCTAGATGCCTTGTTGCTGGAATTTCGAAGCGCGCGTCTGCTAAAACGAGTGCTTCAAATTTTTGTGCCAGTCTAACGCCCTGAAATTCGTATTAGAGCAAAATTATAGAGAAATAAATTTAACTCTAAACATTGCCTACGTAACAGAATGCATTTGTAATAAAATCCTGCGATGCAACTTCGTTGACCAATATTATTAAAGAACATAACATAAGTTAATATCCATAATCACTTGAAGTTAGAACATTGTCTTTTAGAGATAATAGTGATCTGTGACTAGTTATATAAGAAATATGAAATATATTTTTTATATAATTATTAATAACGATACTGAATAATTTTTTTACGCAAAAGCACAATTATCTAAGGATTTATGCGAAGAAAGGTTGCAGAAACATTTTTTGTATATTGTACACGCAGCTTTTTAACATATAAGAAGTATGATGTAATAGAAACCTCGCGAATATGCTTTTGAAGACCGGTGATTCCGTAATTTCTAATGACGAACCACAATTTCAGCGCTCTGAATCTCTTTGACAATGGGATTTGCCAGTGCTAAAATTATAAACAAAGAATAACTCATGAATGTCGTGAATTAATTTCATCGGTAAAACTAACAGTATTTATAGAATATATTGATTACTTACCATGTAATCGATAGCAAGCCCTGCAAATAAATAAGATATTTTGTTTAATCGAATATTTTAATCGACTGAATTCAAGAGTTTATATTAAACGTGATACAAAAGTTGTGTAGCTGCATCGTTACCTGAGTTTTCATGCTTCAAATACAACGGATCCACGTTAAAGGTTCTGTGCAATGCTTGGCTACTTTTCACCCTAAAAGAGTTATTTCCAATTAATTTTTACAACCAATACACATCTTTGATTCATAGTTCCTCTACGAATTATATATTTCCTCAGAATTTTATTTATTTCAATTGGTCGCGATACAGCATATAAACATCACTTATTATATCGCAATTTATTTGAACGATTCGGATTACTAATATTTAATCGGGCAGGTTTACATATTTGTCGTTATTGAATTTTAATTGAATATACCTACTATCGAATATAACTATAATAAAAGAAACTTTACAAGAAATATTCCGGCAAAAGGATTGTTTTAATTGTGAAATACATTCAACCACGAGCAAGTTTTATAAAGCATTAAATTCTTGGCAGCAATTTTTCCTCGCACTATCAACTTTAACAGGCTTTCAAATATCAATCTTAAAGGTTGTGATTTATGCCGGGTTAGTCGAACGAGTCGACGGAAATTGCAGGAAGAATGAAAAACTCATTCTGCATCCGCTGTTCAATCTATAAGCCATGAGAAAAGAGACAAAAGCCAATAATCATTCGGGGTTATGAATTTATCGGATCTATAATGATTTGCAGATTTACAAATTTCCTCTCTTATGTGCTTCTTTAAATTTGATGTTCATTTTTTTTTACTTCTATTAAGAACAGTGAACGAATAATTGTCATCGAAGTAAAATTCAGATGTTTGTATATAACTCACCACATAGCGGTGCAATCAAAATGCACCATGAGCCATTTACTAGGATTAAATGCAATGGAATCGGCATATTCTATTCCTTGAAGCCAGCCGCGAAATTCAGGGCACACGAATGCACTGCCCGCGTAAGCTGCATCCACGTGCAACCAGAGTCCATTCTGTTCACCTACAATGAACCTAAATGTTGATGATTCGAATCGAACAGGGTTTAAATCACGAATGAAAATTAATTCACGATTTTACAGTTTCGGAACGTTTAATTTATGAATTAAACTGATCGAGATTATATTATAATAATAATTAACTTACTTTCGTAGGTGAACGTTTAATTTATATATTTGAAGACTATAGAAAAAAAGTATCATGAATTTATTATGTTATTATCGTTTATAGAGAATCATTTTAAAATTCAATACGTTCTCAACCAATCTCGTATTACCAGAATTATCTGTCTATTTAATTTTGAAATAAAACACTATGTATCTTTCTAATGTGTATCACACGAACGTTTAGTAACTTCATTTTTAACTCGATTTAGTTTACTTACACACAAGACCAACTTCTTTGAGATTATCGAAAGCACAGGCACCCGTTGTACCCAAAGTAGCGCAAACCTTGATAATGAAAAAGACACGTTAAACAAATTTGACTTTTAAATCGATTTATAATGTAGTATAGATTTTTATTTTATGTAGTTCTAAAAATCAGTTTATCGATGAAGCTTATTACGAGTTTTAGTATCTTCTGAAATTTCCTGTTTGAATAGCTACAACGTCGTAATAGAATCTACTTTCCCGTACATTGGGTTTACTGTATTGAAAAATGAAAGACTGTTTTATGTCGATGTCCTTAGGGACCAACTAGCAGAGATACAATCCGCCTTGCTACGTCATGTCCACCTCATTCTCCAACTACTAACAAATCTGGCAAGCTTAATTGACGTCTCGATTATTTTCTACTGCAGTATCATTATTCACCTTCATAATGTTAATTGGAAACAAAGAGAACAAATATTTTCTCGTGAATCGCTTCTCGGTTTAATACGATATTATATAATATCCGTAGGTTCTTTTCCAATGAGTTATTTATTATATATATACATGTTTTCTTAAAGAATATCACACTGAACTACTTAGATTAAAGGAATCTCTAATTAAAATTATGTTCAAGTTGCTTGAGATAGATGTGTCAAAGATAGATATTTATTTCGAACCAAATTTTTATTTTTAACACCGAAATACTTTTCGTAAACATGAGCAACGATACTTACAAAAAAGGGAAGTAATCCCGCAGCTCTGTCGTGCGTTATTGCTTCGAGCAAAGCCTCTCCTCTCATACTCAGTTCATTGTCAGATTCGATGTACTTCATTCGAACTAATCCTATCAATCCAGCTTTTTCTACACTGGAATGAGCCTATATGACATTTACATCACAGAAAGTAAGATTTCTTTTACATCACGTCTTCAAATATTTAAAAGGCGACGATGACAGAATAACGTACAATGAAAGTAGAATGATGTTCAGTGATTAAAAAACAAAAAAAATAAAAAGAATGGGACATAGATAAATACGTAATAATTATGAAATGGAAACCATTTGGGTTATAAGAATAAATTCACAAGAGAGTAAAGATATTCAAAGTACTCTTAGGAAAATAAGTTCGTGTTAGGAAAAGATTTAAAACGAAAGTACGTACCTGGTCGGAGCAATACGCGACAAGACGCGAATTAATCTCAGCAGGCAAACGATCCGGTTCATTTTGTTGCACGTCTCTAATTGCTCGGGTTCTCGCTGCGAGTAAGCAAACGAGAGTGGCTTCGGATGCGGTTGTTTGTATCACGCCACCACCTCCGGATCCTCCAGGACAATGTAAGAATTTATCTGGCAGGCCAATCATTTTCCCGAGCCAGTTCATTACGATTGTCTCGAGTTCTGTACACGCAGGACTCGAAGCCTTTTAAAGTAGGCGAACATAAAATACATTTTACAAAACACACTTTTTAAAGTACGCGAATAAATTTCACGATTGGGAAAATGGAAATTTTGTACCTTGTATAGTTATATCATAATATATTGGAGTATGTTTATAATAATATATTCAGCTAAATTTCCAAACTTCTCGTATCGAAAGTGTTCAATTTAAATTATTTGTAATTATTATTTATAGGAAGTTTTAATAGACGTATAGACGACTAAAATATATCATGCCCCAATAATTATACAATATGATATCATTCGATATGCTCAATTATTTTTTTAACACACGCGTGGAATTCTAAAGAACACTGCGTTCATAGATAACGTCAAGTTTCACAGGTACGAAACTAAATACAAGATCTTTTAGCAAGAACTGACAATGGGAGCTCATATTAACAGTACCAGACAAAACGTCGAATTTCAATACGGTAACTTCCGAACTTGGCTTGTGAGAAAGCTACTAATCCGAAACGAAGTTCATTATATACAGCCATCATGGAAGATCTTAATATAATCGATTTCAATGCTCTCTTTCCAGTACTTAACTCGTACTATTGAAAAGTGTTTCTAATATAATATCGTTAAATACATCACACATGACAGAAGTTTTAAGCCGAACAAGAGAAAGCATAATAAACTAAACCATTTCACTCTACACGTGTGCGATATTCACATTATTGTTCTTACCCAAGTAAATCCAAGACAATTGATTGCGTCGGCCAGCATATCGGCTAGCAGACTTGCAGGTGAATTAAGGGCTGGAAAATAGGCGTGCATATGTGGACTCTGCCAATGCGTCACTCCTGGCATGATGCACCTTTCGATGTCCGCGAATATATCCTCCCAAGGTTCGCCATTCACAGGTGCGGATGTAGGCAAAACGTTCCTCAGGTAACCGGGAGAAACCGCCGGGTAAACGCGTCGAGATCGAATATTTTCCAGATAATCGGCAATGTAATCCACCATTTCTTTTCCTAATAATCGCGATGAAGTCGATATAAAAATTGCTTTTTCAATATAAATTTATGGATTCAATAAAGTATCATTAGCGCGATATAGTTTGGTATTCTCTCCTGCTTTTTTGGATTTACATTAAATTTCAAGATTACATTCCTAAGATTTTTAGTTACTTGTTCGATGGATTTTAAACTTTTGTTACGTTTCAAAGCGTTTTGTTTCATTGCGAAAGTTCGACGACAACTGCCTCTTGGGAAAATCAATTATTAAGCCCCGGTGGAAATCTCTAAACCGATTATCTTTAGTTTTCTTTATTTAGGGGACTCGATCTTAAGTATATTGGGAAAATACTTGTACAGACGAAACCGTTTTCCCGAATAACAGCTCTGTTTCTTTCCCAATTCGCTTCTCTGATGTACATTACGCTTCACGATAGGATTCGATTCGTGTTATTTAACGGTTTCTAAAAGTCGCAGGTCAATCAGGCTCCGACATACAAGCCTTAGCAATTCTTAAACGTTAAACGATTTATATACCGTGTAACTCTCTTCGCAAGATAAATCGGCAACACCTTAAATTTGTACCAAATTTAGAATCAAGTTGTGATATAGATTGCTATAAAAGTCAGTTGGCCTTTGAAACAATCAATAGATAACAAGGAAGACGAAGACAGCGAGATCGATTTTTCGTACGAAATTGGATTTAAGGAAAAGGGAAATCTCATACGGATGCTTTGCCTAGGATTCAGAGATTTAGATTGTAAAGGCGGAACCTAGCGTATTGGAAACAGTATCGAATCCATAAAGATCCCGTAGACTTACTCTCCCCTACGGTGATTCCTCTTTATTGGTATCGTTTTAATGCTTAGAATCTTATTCGATCGCTCGTTGTAAGTTTCTCGTTTCACGCGTGAGTATTTGATCGTGTGATAAGAGTGCGACATGTGCAAATATTCCCAAGAACCATAAATACCTACATGTAACGGTATATAACGGGCTATTATTTTATTACTATTATGTATACGCCACGCAGATTAAAACGAATTAATCAGTAAATACTTGGATATTTACTATTTTACGCACATTAGAATGAAAGTAAATGTTTTTTACTCACCATGCTTGCGGTACTCCTCTAGATTCATATTATCTGCAACCAAATGAATCGACACACTATAATACACAACCCTGTAAAAGTAATGAATACAATAGAATCTTGATTATCCAAATTAATACTAATATACGCAATTCGAATAATCAAATTTCTCAGGTAATTCGAATAACTTTGTTTTCAAATGAGAAAAGATAATTTATTTTTTGAATTATTTCTTAAATACTCATATCGAACACGCAAGAATATTTTTCAATCAAACTGTAACCATTTCTCTCAATTTCAATTCTTGTTTGCCAATCTTTCTTACACAATATCATCTCCAAATCTTTTATCGATCAATGTTCCGATAATTGATCATTAATCGGTGTTCTGATAAACGAGGATGTAATATATAATAGTACGTGAACGAAAGCAAAAGAAAATCACAATACATTTTTCTTTTGTTTTACATGGAATAAGCTATCGAACTATCATCACTATCAAGATTGGAATAACACTCGGATGGAAACAACACTCAAAGAGCACTAACGATTTTCACATAAAATATTTTGTTGAGAAAGTAGTAAGAGGATCAACTCGCTCACCGTTGATCCTCACAACAGCCAAATCTCAAAATTTCGATGGCACCGTAGCAGGCGCATGTGTCGATGTTTATAATTAATTGTTCACCGTGTTGGATAGTAATATCAGGGAACTTGCCACGCGTTTCGCGGAAGCTTAGCGCAACGGCGCAGCGGATTTGAACGAACGTGCCGAGTAGATACGCTTAGCTGCCCTATGCGTGTTGACCTAGCATCGAATTTTAACGCTACGATAGGTACTCGCTAATGATTTGTACGGATTCATCATCGATCGCTTGTCACATGGGCCCAGAGCTTATTAGGCTAGTGTCACAAGGCTCGTCACGGCCTAGAACTAGATCGTATGCTTTCCTGGATTAAACTATCTGATGACTGACCTTCTCTTCGCATCTTTTCGATCGTGCAATCGTTCTTTTTTTCTTTTAAAACAAAATTTCGACTAATTCGAATATTCGATGCATATTTAATCGAATATTTTTCTTCTGATTACAGTAGTGTTGTGTAGTAATTCAATTAACACTACCAGAACCACTAAATAGATCAAAATGATCAATTTGTAATTTTTTTAGATTTATAGAAAAGATTTTACAGGTTTAGATAACAAAATGATTTAGTAGTTTGAGGATTTCATCGAATTTTTGTAAAATATATGAATGAAAACTTGTTTTTCTTCTTGCATGTTTCACATTTTACGCGTGTTTTTCGTACTAGTATATATTTCGTGTCAATTTGTTTGGTACACTCCTCGCCAAAAAGATAGCCCAGGTGTGCTATCTTTAATTTCTCAGTGACGCGTGTAAAGTTTTTCATCTGTAACGTATAATATCAAAACATTATTAGCTCAGAATATGCGGTTCGTTGAAAATAATTAAAAATATTATGAGGTTTAGTGTGTAGAACAAAAAAATTGTTTTATTTTGAGAACAAAATGATAGCACACTCTGTTAATATGTTTAGAAATTGCTCAGTAGTTCATGATCTATCAACGAGTAAAGATTACAGCACAATATTATATAAATTTGTAAGTATGGGGCGTGGATAAAAATTAAACGAGTCTGAAAAAAAGCAAATTCTTGAACTAAAACAGCAACAGTTGTCAGTAACAAAAATATCGAAAGTAATAAGATGAAGTCGTAAAGTAATACACAATTTCTTTGAAAATGTTGAACGTTATGACAAAAAGAAAAGTACTTGTCGGCTGTCATCGTTATCCGATCGTGACACAGCGAGCAATTTCGCGTTTCCAACTCGCAGTTAACACAAACAATTAACGAAGCAAATAATGGAAAAATCTAATGTTAGTGCCAATGTTTCAAGTGTTCGTCGAGTTCTACTATCCTGCAAAAATATTAAGAGGCCAAAATTGAAAAAGAAACCTTCGTCAACAATGGAACATAAAGTAGAACGTTTACGCTTTGCAAAAGAAAGGGTGCATTGGAAAAAGAAATGGAGAAGGGTACTATTTTCAGACGAAAAAGGATTCAACTTGGATGGTGCTGATGGGTTCCAATATTGTTTTCATGACATAAGGAAACAGACAATTTCGGCAATTCGACTACAAATGGGAGGAGACAGCGTGATAGTTTGAGCCCGCATCGGTTATTTCAGCAAGACAAGTATCAAGTTCATGAATGGGCGAATGTATAGTGTCCGATACATAAATTTAATCAAAGAATAAATAAATAATCATGCAGGACGCATTTCTGGATCTTATTACACCTTTCACCAAGATAATGCATCTGTACACACATCAATATTGGTCCAATCATATTTTAATAAAAATAATATATCTATTTTGCCGTGGCATGCACGCTCCCTGGACCTTAATATTATTGAAAATTGCTGGGCAGAACTTGTTCACGGCGTATACGCGAATGGGAAGCAATATCGACACGTACAAGAATTAAAAAATGCAATTGTATGTGAATGGGATACGTTAAGTCAAAATTATATCCAGAAACTATATAAATCGATACCAAATCGTACAATGGAAGTAATAGAAAATAAAGAGGGATGTACTCATTATTAAATAAGTACATATGTTTGATAAATAATTATTGTTAGTTACAATTTATGTTGATTATTATTTTCTTATTGTACATGTGCTATCATTTCGTTCTTAAAATAAAGCAATTTTTTTTGTTACACATTAAACCTCATAATATTTTTAATTATTTGCAACGAACCGCATATTCTAAGCTCATAATGTTTTGATGTTATACATTGCAGACGAACAACTTTACACGCGTCATTGAGAAATTAAAGATAGCACACCTGGGTCAGGAGTGGTTTTTGGCGAGGAGTGTACAAGTTCTATATTTTTATCGTTGGTATGGTTCTAATTTAATTGATAAAATCATGTCGCGCGAGCAGACATTAAGGTGTTTCGAGTGAGTTTAAGTCAAGTGGACATATATTACTTAATCTTGTTTTGAGTAACAGGGGATTCCGCTCACGAGTATCATGGAAATCCAGTACTGTTTGTGTTTTCTAAGACGTAGACCGAGAAGTTTGGATGGCAGATTTGGCCGACAGGTCAAGATAGCCAAATTTGCGTGCTTTGAACTTCATATTCATAAACTGTACAGTACCCGACAATAATTTGAACTGATAATGTGTATGCATATAAATTTTTCTAAATATTTAAATTAGTTCTTTTGTTTTCATTTCACCTTGGCATTGACTCGAATATAATGAAATAATTAAAAAAATTAAGCTCGGCTCTGAATGACAAATATCTTTTAATTTTTCTCCTTAATAAGCAACCGATCGATAGCGCGTCTTTGCGATATTCTTTATTCAGACAGTCGACAATAGCATCACAATTTTATGAGGATTTAGAGAAAGGAACGATCAAGGCGTTATCACCCACCGATTACAAACAAGAAAATAAAAGATCTCGGCCCATCCGGATGCAAAATGGAAAATCGAACATCGGTAGTCACAAGGATCTCGAGCTTGAGCCAGAATGACGCTCGACGATATTAAAAGCTCGTCCTTCCACCGTTTCCGTTTCCGACTTTTGTAATTTCCCGTAGCTTTCAGTATTCGTGCGCGATTCGAAGGATTTATCAGTGATGCCGACTGCTTACGTATGATGCGAGCCACCGGTACTTGATACCGATTCGGAGTTTTTATCACGAACGAAGAATTAATCTGATGAAAACGTGTCCTGACCCTACCGATAACCAACTTGACCAACGAAAACCGTTTCATTAACACACACGGGCCTGATACATTGAATTTATTAGAAACAATTTTAATATTGCGTCCTCAAGACAATTATTTGGATCATTTAATCACAGAAATGTAATTGATGCAATTAAAGAGTGGATTCGTTGGAACATCGATTTAAAAGATAACAACTTATTCTTAATCATATTTAATATTTATTATTCCTGATTATTTCCTGAAAGATAGAGTTGTTAAAATTTTTTAATGTCAATAGGAATTATGAAAAATTATGAGCCAATACTTCAATGAATCACGTATTGTAGAATGCAATCTTCAAACTTCAGAATTCTTTCAAATGATCTTCATCTTTCATATGCGAGAAAAATTTAGGAAAGTACTGGAATAATTTTCGTCGAATGTACAAACTGGAATATGTCATGTTCTGGCACGAATGCATACTTTGACATCTATCAATTATTCGCTAAATTTCCTTTGAAATTTTTAAAATATCGAGGAAACATCAGAACTCGAACTAAAATTCGAGTTTGCTTCGAAACGAAACTTTAACATTATCACGTAATTTATATAAAAATCCTACCTTTTCTTTGAAGCTTCGACCACGACGAGTAGGAGCAGCAAGATTCAGCACGATCGAAAAGGTTGCGAAAAGATGAACTTTTAGAACTTTGCTAGACAGCAATCACTTTACAGACGACACGAAAAATGATTTTCCGTACCCCGAAAAATAGATATATTCACGGTTGAGGAGAATCGGTGGAATGCAAGTCGTTCAACAAGTGGCCGCTTTTATACAGAGACGCGCTAAGTACCAGTTGCTTTAGCGCAAGCGTAACCGAAGATCAAGACAGAATGAGGAACAATTTCTGTGACTAAGCTTTTGCAATCTTAAGGGACTACCGATAAACGATTTTACGTTTCCACGCACAATCTCGATTAATTCTCTTGAATACTCTTCATTTTCTTCCATTGTAACTTCTCTTCTTTCGTTACATTTTTTTTGTGTTTCTAACATCCAGAAAATCTTACTGCTGTTTAATTATAATTACACTTGCGTTGTGAAATGCCGAGTTTTTAATTATTTTAGTTCACTTAAACTTTCTTGTTCATATTTTTAGCTTTTTAAGTTTTAAGTTCAAGTTTTATAGTTATAAACGTATATAAAATCGCATCAAGAGGGTCATAACTTAGTATAGGGATAGTTTTAAAGACAGACGCGAATTAATGAACTGAATGAAAATATTAGAATCCTTTTACGTAAGTTCCATACCTTATTATGCTAATTTGCCTAATTTGACATTTTAATATGACGTTCTTGCAAAAATGTAATGCAAACCTGTGTTTCCTGAAATTGTATTTTTGGAATTACATCATTGTTGCAGCAGCGATATTATATAAAGTTTACATATACAAGTTTACATATACAAGTATTACAAGTTTATAGAAATAGGTTTGCTATAAAAGTTCATTGGCAGCATACAACATTATAGTTAATGAAAATCCAATTCTGTAATAAAGAACGTATTATGATACGGCAGAAAGAATAGAGAAATTAAAAAGTTTTCTGAAGAAGATCAGTATTTCTTTCTTACTATTATGATGTAGTAAGTATTTCACAAGATCGTGAAAACTCGTGATCAAATTATGTCAATTAATACATTTGCCTACGTATCTGAACATTAGATTCATTAGAACATAAATTCATTTATTTATTTCGTAGAACCATCTGTTATCACAGTTTTGTGTACGTGTATCAAACTCCAAATTAAATTTTACGACACTCAAAACATTCAGCTCTTCCATTTTACACGTTCTTCGTTTAATAATGATTGCCTCATTAGTTTTTCAATAAGATAAATACTTGCTGTAAAAAAATATGACTGAAAATAGAGCGATTACCCTTCTCGGAAGTATAAATAGAAAGCAGAACCATAAAAGATTACCCACTCGCTTAATCTTGGGACAACATGTTTACAAATTTGGGCTAATTAATCGTGATTGTTTGTTTGTGAAATTGTAC